TTAATAAAATCCACTATTCGATATTGCTGGCCGAAATCGTGAATGAATGCAGCCTGAATCTCAATTGGGATGTGCCTTAACTCGACCCAGTAATAATCCTTCATCATTTGTTCCCTCAATTCTCCTGGGCTAACTTTCTTCAGCAACCATGGATAAATTCTAACTTCGGAGCGGTCCCAAAATATTTTTTTCCATGCATCCATTCTTACCTTATCTTTGTCGAAAAGATTCAAAATTGTGAACACTGTCGGCGTAATCGGTTGAATTAGGAAAAATTTAGTGACCCCATCCGGACCCTCCCTCAACGATTCCAGCCTCTTACAAATAAATTTAATCTTATCATTAACTGATCGAAAAGCCGCATCATCATAGAAGATCCAATTAGATGCATGTTTCGTGTAAATAATATCTCTCTGAGGTAATTTATCCAGCGGGTATGCTTTCATCAGAGTTTTCCTCCCCCCCTGATCTATTACCAATTGTTCTGATGGGAGAAGGAACGGAGACAGAAAATAAGCTCTCGCAGAAGATAAATTCCTGAGAGGGACTTTCAGTTCCTCTGCTGGAGTTCCTCCCGCTGGATCTATTGACGGCCTCTGAATGGTCAGTGATTTGTCCTGCAGAGACTCCCTTACCTTATGTGCCCACGATGGATGATGGGCTGCGTCCTTTACTGTATTACTCGTCTGTGTCTGTTGGAGGGAGTGTGATGCTTCTTGCATCTCCTCATCCTCCGTCAATATTTCATCATTGTTATCTTCGCTCACTCCATTTCCATCATGCATAATCAAATCCCGCATTTTAGAATCAGACGAAGACTGTTTTGTTCTGTTGGTATCTGGCTGCAGAGGCGGGAAATCTGATGAAGAGAGGGAGGAGGCAGAGATAGTGGTGATGTCTGCATAGTTCATTTGGTGAGCAGATTGTGTCATTACTCTCTTTCCTTGTGTGATCAGAGCCGGATTAGGTGACTGGGGGTTCAAGACTGTCTCCTGTGATGAAAGGAGAGCCGGGAAATGTGATAAGGAGAGGAAGGAGGCAGGGACAGATGAGCTGTCTGCCTGGTTTGTTTGCTGAGCAGATTGTGTCATTGCTTCCTTTCCCAGCGTGAGCAATGCAGGATTATGTGACTGGGAGTTCAGGATAGTCCCTTGTGAGGAGGGGAGGTTTCTCCCTTTCCTTGTCAGGAATCCTGACAATCCTTCGCTGCAGCGGGCAGGGGTCGCTGTCACCCCTGGTCTCGCATACGGGCCCGGGCCCATCTGTTTAAACATCGCGTGTCTCATTGCTCCTTGATAAAAGAGCAATGAGCCAGGCCCCTTCGATGTTTTGAAACTGAGCTTCATTGTAAAGTTGAGAGTGAGAGAGGTGGGGTACTGGAGACTGAGAAGATGTGACTTAAAGAAACAGAATGACCCGAATCAGCAAAAGGTTCGGTAATGATCCACGAGCCACTATACTAGTACTCGAATGTGATTTGGGCCGTGAGCAGCTTTGTGGTTTCAATATTTGGCTTGGATTCCAAGGGTGTAGGGGAAATCAAAAGGTATGAGTAGGGCGAGGTTATAGGAGGTGCAATGAGTTGGTTAGGGAGCACATACCACAACCAAGGAGTCTTGAATTCTAATGGTCGTCTTCTTCATGCCACTGCGATGTAGTAAGTACCGCTGATCGATTCGAAATGCCTTCCTGTTGTCAGACGACCTTCGATATATCAGGCTGTTGGATTCCTTGTGTTTAGCCTACCTAACCCCTCTTGACCTCTCACTTCTCCTTCCTTCTCCTTCCTTCGTAATGTTGTGTCCCCTTTATATGAAATGTGGTGAGAAGTACAGTGCCCTATTCTATTGCATTGACAACATGAAAAACCACCTGTGATGTGGCGGGAAAGAGGATACAGACAGGGGAAGAATGGAACTCAATTGAAAGTAATGGAGAGCATAGACCACGTAATTGTGTAATACGCTTATGGCCAGACCATCCTATAAATGACGAGAGCGGGACAGAAACAATGGCAATGTGGTAAAAAAAAGCTGCCCCGGACTGTGCTGTTTTGTCTTAGCAAAATTGACCTATGATGATGAGGCCCGTGTGTATGAGATGTGGTGAAGAGTATTGTGCCCTATCATAAATTCCACATGTGATGTGACGGAGATGATGGTGCGAAAAGAGGAGACAGACAGGGGGAGAATGGAACTGAATTAAGAATAATGGAAAGCGTTGACTACGTAATTGTCTAATACACTTATGGCCAGACCAACCTATAATTGACGAGGGAGGGACAGTATCAATGGCAATGTGGTAAAAAAGTTGCCCCTATGATGATGTGGCGAGATAATGGTAAAAATAGAGATAAGAGCCAGATAGAGGGAGAGGAGAAAAATCACAGAATTGGGAATAATGTCGGGCACTTGACGCTAGGTCCTCCAGCCTTGGTGAGAAGATGGCAATGATGCTATTTCCAGAAACAGAAACGGATGACGACTAACGCCAGCATTCCACTATGACTCGCATAGCAACTGAAGAGTCTGAGTCGCCAGCATTACTGATTGACACACTTGAGTTGTCGGCTTGATGACGATTACGATATTCTGTTGATGATTGTTGGTGTTAAACCACCAGTTCACGCCCCGGCACTGTCCTGCTATTGCAGTAAACTGCACCCTGACCTGGGCCCTTCGGCAGAGGGCCGGTAGAGCTTCGGGGCGAAGGACAGGTCGGCCTAAAAAATTAGAGTACCCATTCCAGGAGGTGCAATGGATGGGCAGGCGCCAGATGTGAAAACACCAACTACGGCAAGACAAAGAAACAGGACAAAGTACGGGCTTGCAAAAGAGACAAATAAAGAAAAGAAACAAAAAGAGCTAAAAGCAAAAAAAAAACTTGTAAGGCCCGCCACTTGGCGGGTGGAAAATGATTGT